AGTTCGTATAAAAGTGAGCTTATTTTGTCGAGGGTAAACGAATAAGCCGACCAGGCTATGCGGTTTAGATTACTCCCCTAAAGCAAGGATAAAGCAAGTATTATGTACCGCAGTCAAACTTCTGACCCCCTATAGAGTTTTCGCTATCGGCCAAACTGAGCTGCCATGCGAACAGAAGTAAATATCAGTGCAGTGAAACTAGAATTTTCTAATAATTCTAAAGTAATAATTAGTGCCACATAGTGTTTATTAGATATCTATTCCTATTCATCTGCCTCTTGTTCTTCAAATTTGTTTATGATATATTCTTGAAGTGTTTATACCTTTATATTTTGATAGGTGTTGTTTTTTAAGTACCTTCATTCGAGGTTCAGTTCATAATTTATTTTTTTCCAGCATTGGGCTGGCATATGTGTTCATGGCAATGTCGTTATACTTGGCAGTTTAAAAATAGAATCTAAACGTTTTTTTTTTTAAATCACCGACCTTCCGTGCCAAGAGAGCCTACTTCCAAGATGTTTTATTTTAATTTTATTTTCGATTCCACCTTTGAATTTGATTGTCGGCTCTTGTGAAGAACATCGCTGGAAGAAATATCATTTGTCGGTTCTTTTCAAGGGCAATTAAGAGCTTTATAATTGGTCTGAGATGTTGAAGAACTTTGTGGTGACAATAGATAACTTAAAGCTCCCCGGGCTAATAATATCAGTTTCATGCATGCTTTTGTCTTCCATGTGACCAAGCGTGACAAAGTCACTCAAGTAGGGTAGGTATAAAAAGATCGTAATCTTTTTATTTAGATATCAAGGGGAGAGGTTTTCAAATTCTCCCGAGCAAAGGGGTTATTTACAAAGCGCTCAAACGTGCCCCCTTTACCCAGTCTATCGGTGCTTCTTAGATTAGCCATTTCCTTTGTTGACGAAAAGACTAGGACGAGATGGCATTTCAGTGAATTGGTGGGCTGTTAAGGGGACATATGTCCAAGAAGATGACGTCTATTTCGTCCCTTAAAAAAGTCCCAAAATGCACTGCAAATCCAAATCGACCCAGTCTTGTACTCAACCTTGGGATGGCTAATGACGGGTGACTTAAAGACGTGGAGATCCTGAGGATTGAACTGTGGACCTCTGTCTGCGAATACCACGCACTATAATCAAATGAGCTACACCTGTTCCTGGCATTCTTTGCTATGTAGTACAAAAACCGGCAGTATGAAACTAACTTGCTAGTTAACCGGTACGTATATGCGTACGTAGACCTAAACTTAGACTTAGGGGGCTTTCATTTATTAGCACATTGGGGGTGGGGG